TACCAATCCCACAGTAACAGTATACTAGTTGGGATTGGAATCTTGACGAAATACATGTTTTATTCATTGGCATCTGGATGACTGTAACAGACTATAATACCAATCCCACAGTAATTATACTAGTTGGAATTGGAATCTTGACGAAATGCATGTTTTATTTATTGGTATCTGGATGACTGTATCAGACTATAATACCAATCCCACAGTAATTATACTAGTTGAGATTGGAATCTTAACGAAATGCATGTTTTGTTTATTGGTATCTGGATGACTGTATCAGACTATAATACCAATCCCACAGTAATTATACTAGTTGAGATTGGAATCTGAACGAAATGCATGTTTTGTTTATTGGTATCTGTATGACTGTATCTGACTATATTACCAATCCCACAGTAATTATACTAGTTGGGATTGGAATCCTAACGAAATGCATGTTTTATTCATTGATATCTGAATGACTGTATCAGACTATATTACCAATCGCACAGTAATTATACTAGTTGGGATTGGAATCTTGACGAAATGCTTGTTTTATTTATTGGTATCTGAATGACTGTATCAGACTATAATACCAATCCCACAGTAATTATACTAGTTGGGATTGGAATTTGAGCGAAATGCATGTTTTATTTATTGATATCTGGATGACTGTATCAGACTACTACCAATCCCACAGTAATTACAGTTATACTAGTTGGTATTGGAATCTTGACGAAGTGCATGTTTTAATTTTTTGTATCTGGATGACTGTATCAGACTATAATGCCAATCCCACAGTAACAGTATACCAGTTGGGATTGGAAATTTTCCCGAAATGCATGTTTTAATTTTTTTCTAAATGGATGACTGTGTCAGACTATAATACCAATCCCACAGTAATTATACTAGTTGGGATTGGAATCTTGACGAAATGCATGTTTTATTCATTGGTATCTGGATGACTGTATCAGACTATAATACCAATCCCACAGTAATTACACTAGTTGGGATTGGAATCTTAACGAAATGCATGTTTTATTCTAAAGATAAAGAGCAGAGCCCAGCAAAGAACTTTAAAACCAAACATAATAAAAGTAAAAATTTAATTATCTAACGTTTCGTTGTTTACAATACAACATCTTCAGAGCAATCTAAATGAATTTACAGGGTATGGTATATATATCTACAAAATAATGGTTTAATATTACAAAAACGGTCACATAGTTTGAAAGAACAAATGAATAGAAAGAAAGGAAAACAACTTGCTAATAAGTAAAGATTAATGTTAAGTGCATGGTTAGTATAGTTAAGGTTAATATTACATAACTAAAATAACTCAAGAGGGGTAGATCTAATATTAGCATTAAGGACAGGGTTAAGTTGAGAAATTAATAGGCTTTCACGGATAAGAAGATCCCACTCAGAAGTTCCTGATGATAGAATTTTGAAATCAGAAGCGGAGACTGGGTGTTTGTGCATGTGTTTGTGAGCGAGGATACTAGACATGGTTGAGATAGAGCGTTCTTTTCCAGTCAAAGGCGGGACTCCCATATGCTCTGAGATACGTGTGTGAATGTGTCGGCGTGTTTGGGCTACATACAATGCGCTACACCATTGACACGTGAACTGATACACAACATGTGATCTCAGGGCAATGGGAATCCTGTCTTTAAATGGAAAGAAACTAGAAAGGCGACAAGAGGGACGGAAAACAACACGTATGGAAATATGTGGATAAACAGAAGCAAGAACTTTACTAAGTTGTATACGGATATGTAGACCATGATGTCCAGTGAAAGGAAGGCAAAAGTAGACAATTTTCTTGGAACATGTATGGACCTTGTCCTTGGTATTATAAATCCTGTCAAGGAATACTGTATCAAACTATACTACCAATCCCACAGTAATTCTACTAGTTGGGATTGGAATCTTAACGAAATTCATGTTTTAGTTACTGGTATCTGGATGACTGTATCAGACTATACTACCAATCCCACAGTAATTATACTAGTTGGGACTGGAATCTGAACGAAATGCATGTTTTATTTATTGGTATCTGGATGACTGTGTCAGACTATAATACCAATCCCACAGTAATTATACTAGTTGGGATTCGAATCTTAACGAAATTCATGTTTTATTTATTGATATCTGGATGACTGTAATCCCAGATTATAATACCAATCCCACAGTAATTACAGTATACTAGTTGGTATTGGAATCTTGACGAAATGCGTGTTTTAATTTTTTGTATCTGGATCACTGTATCAGATTATAATACCAATCCCACAGTAATTATACTAGTTGGGATTGGAATCTTGCCAAAATGCATGTTTTAATTTTTGATATTTGGATGACTGTATCAGACTATAATACCAATCCCACAGTAATTATACTACTTGGGATTGGAATCTTGCCGAAATGCATGTTTTAATTTTTGATATTTGGATGACTGTATCAGACTATAATACCAATCCCACAGTAATTATACTAGTTGGGATTGGAATCTTGCCAAAATGTATGTTTTAATTTTTTATATCTGGATGACTGAATCAGACTATAATACCAATCCCACAGTAATTATACTAGTTGGGTTGAAGAAGACCTTTGTTTGATGTTGAACTGTACTAATCACCACAGACAGAATCCTTTGTCCTAACTAAATTCACTACATGTTACTCATCGTTGTTGCACATTTAATATGAGCTTATCCATATCGTATGGAAACTTAATTAATCCATTGAGCTGCAATGTGCCCCAGTGCGCCTTACTTATTTTTTTTACTTGTCTAATGGCAGACGATTTTACTTTGCCGGGCACAAATCAACGGAACACAATGACTTTTGTTCAGTTCGCAGACCATCATGTCAAATGTGTTCACAATGAATAATGAATACATGTTATTTATACTCTTGGTGCTCAGTGCCAATGTAGTAGTGATAATAGCAGACAGCTGTGGTAGGTACTATGAGATACAAATATTATCTGAAAAATATAAGCAGTTCTGTAAATCACATTACAGAAATATTTTGATAGGTGATACTATAAATATCGGAAAGGTTGGGAAAACTATTCAAGGGCTGTTTATATCCATGCTCACTTTAACTCTTGCAGGAAATAATCTTGAATGAAATAGTCAGTGTAGCTGTTCTGTTGTGGCCAAATGAGCCCGGTACACAGGGGTGTACATTGGGGGGGGGATTTGAAAATCACAAGAAGTTGGTCCCAGTTTTATTGCACTCCTCTATTTCTGTGCTAACGTATAGCTACAAATGCCTGTTCCAGAACAGGAAAGTCATCCCAGATCATCCCAACCCCAACCCCCAGAAATTTTTGAATGTGTGCCCATGTTGGTACATATAAACAGCCCCTAATAATGAACATTGTTTGATAGGCAATTTTCACCCAGGCTGGCCAGGCATTTTTAATATTTTTTGCTGTTTGAAGTTTTGAACTCGATATGTACACTTCATACCAGTTTAATACAGTCGATACTAATAGTCAGCACATAGTCCATATAAACGTCGCTACTGTATATAAACCATTAATCCATTATTCCATGGCATGGTACGTGATTTTTCAAAATATTGAAAATATATAGCCCTATATATAAGTATAAAATATATGTCCAATACTCGCGTATAAAAACTCTCCAATTTTGACTTTCAATCTTCACAGGGAACCACTTTTACCATAAATACAACAAGCAGAAAGAACATCTAATATCGCGAGCCAAAAATTATTGCCATTTACACACTTAATAGTCCGATTTATTTACTCGAAGTCATTAATATTTATAACACTGCTTGCTCGTCGCCATATTGAATGCGCTATATTGATAAACGGTAGTCTGGCACTAGTATAATTTGTTTGCTACTCAGATTGGCGAGATTGCAATCTCGTTCCCAGAGTATGCCTGTTCGCGGGTTAGGTTGTGGCATGACTCTGGGGAAATCGAATTTTTTTATCCAAAATGAGATAAATGGCGCATGCGCTTTTATTGCTTCTGTTTATTCCGCTTACTAAATTCGCGCGGGCACACGCTCACAATCGATTTGTTTTAAACAAAGATTCTCATCAGAATATAGTATACAAAATGGAGTTTTATACGTTTAAAGGTGCTTTAAATCGTACTACCATTAAATTATATTCAATGGCAAATACTGAAAGAGCTATGAAAGTTGTTCTAGCGAAAAGAGGGCTTGAATATTCGCTAAAAGACGAGACATTCAAATGTATCTCGGCCATTGTAAAATGGTGAAGATGTTTTGGTTGTTTTGCCGACAGGTTATGGGCTTATTATGGCAAATATTAAAATATTTCAGCTGCTACCTGACGTGTACGACATGTTACTTGGCGCATTAACTAATTCTATCGTGATAGTCATATCTCCACATGAATGACCAAGGCATTTCTGCATGCATGATGTCACAGTATGATACAAGGCCATTCTGTGCTACACTATATTATGGTGATGGCAGCGATATATCAAATTACCATTGGATCGACATGAGAACCTGACGTATAAGCTGTTCTATATGCACCCAGAAATGTGTGTCTATGGCAAGAAAATACAAGCTTTTTTCAACTGTATACTGTAAACCTCTGAATATAATGCTCACCTCATTCCAAATATAAGCCCCCCTGAATACAAGTCCCTGAATATAAGCCCAGTATCCCACTATGTTATTTAACATTGACATTGTCTTTTAATATAACAGAGAATGATATTTGAAACACTGTCATTGTCTTTATTGCTTACTATGTTACCATTAACCATTAGTGTGTTATTAACACATGTTTATTTTCCTGTTTATGACTGACTTGTTTATTACTAACACAATTGATCGTCCATGTATAAGGACCCCGTGCATATAAGCCCCCCCCCCCTAAGCCCATCAAAAATCACTTACAAAAGAATATAAGCCCAGGGCTTATAGTCAGAGGTTTATGGTATTATATATCCCATATTTTAACAATAAACACATTATTTTTTATATTATATTACATTAACATATATACATGGAGTACATATAAAGTCTTTAATTAAATGACAGTACATTGTGTTTGTAATTATAATTACCATAATTACTTGTGTCGAAAGTAAGAAATGAAGTGAACAAATCCATATATATATTTGTTGAAAATTTCTTGCAGTGGGTATCTTCCATTTGTTTTTCATGCTTCACACTGTGTATCTTTGAACATTTAATCAGCAACTAATTATAAGCAAGGATATATTTACTAGCTCATTTCTCCATATTACCAGGTACATAACATGCAAATTATACATCAACCTTGCAATCCAGGCTTTAACCCCTGCAGTTGCCCCTCTCCTGCAGCATGTTTGGGAAGGGAGAGGAAGGAATGGAGGTACTGTAATTTCTATATTTAGCCCCCTTCTCTTCAAGCCCCTCTCCGATACGCCCCCCCCCCCCTCATTTGGATACAAAAATAAAAAATAAATAAGCCCCCCTCCTCTTTTAACCATGCAGCCCTCATTCAATTTCTTAAAATCATGAAATATATTGCATTTCTGCAGTATTTTAATAAAATATAGTACAACGGTAACTCTGAATATGGACATTTTTTAATGGTAACCAGACTTATTGCATATATTTAGAACAAGTGCCCCCTCATTGATGCTTAGGAAACAATAATACACAGGAGGCTTGATAGTTGATACAGAAATTAAAGTAGTTATTTGATTGAAACTGGTAGCTATTTCAATTCTACTGTATCTCCTTTTATATATAATTGGATTAATTGCCAATATATTCACATAGTATAATAGTTTGGAAATGGAATCAATACTTGTATATTTTTAGCAAATGAGCATTGTTATTGATCAACAATGACTCTTATTGCTATAAACAACATTGTTTCACATAGCAACAGACAAGGAAACATCTGTATTTAAATTCACTACTTATTTTTTATCCAGACACAAATTGATGTAAAAATTGTTTCAGGTTTGGCTTAGTTATAGCCTTACATCAGGCTATTCCATTTAATATCCATACCCCCCCTGTCGAGGATCCCTGGAATTCTTCAGGGGTAAAGGGTTTTGAGCTTGGAATTCTTCAGGGGTAAAGTGTTTTGAGCTTGGAATTCTTCAGGGGTAAAGGGTTTTGAGCTTGGAATTCTTCAGGGATAAAGGGTTTTGAGCATGGAATTTTGGAATTCTTTGAACAGGAGTAAAAGGTTTTGAGCTTGGAATTCTTCAGGGGTAAAGGGTTTTGAGCTTGGAATTTTGGAATTCTTCAGGGGTAAAAGGTTTTGAGTTTGAAGTTCTTCAGGGGCCGGTTGTTCAAACTTGGATTGGTGCTAACCCTGGGTTAAAATTTAACCTGCTGTTTTAGTTTATGTATTTCTGCACGTCTGTTTATTTCAAAACTTCAGAGAAGTAAAATTCTATCGATCCAGACAAGATCTCTGAAGAAGCATTTCCAAATTTATAGACAAGCTGTCAGGAAGTTTGCTTTGAATTTTAGGTTAACCTAGGGTTAAGCTAACCCAGTTTTGAACAACCGGCCCCAGGGGTATAACCATGAAAAACATGTATCCTCAACAGGGGGTGTACGGATATCAAATGGAATAGCCCATCATGCTGTCAAGTGGCAATCACTTACAAAGCAAATCTATAACCAAATGTTTTACAACCTGAGGAACTTCTTAAATCAATTATTCTATAATTTATACAGATGCTACAAAAACACCTGGCATCTTAAATTTATATAGATAACTCCATTTACAGAACTACAAAAGCACAAAGACCACGGGCTACAACATGTTGAGTGTTGACCATTGACCATAATGTACTGTATTGTTTAAAGCTTCAAGTTTTTAACACAAGCAAAAGCTGTCACTCCAAAGTCCTGGCAACAATATGTCAATTTAACAAAACGACAACGTGTGCGATGATTTCATTTGGCCAATTCTTTCATGGTTATAATGATTATACTCGTACTGTAGATCGATAAAAAGTCATTCATAAATACCATGCCATTTTGTAAGTAATATACCCAACGTCCCAATACTTTTTCATACGATTAATATCATATCCTTCGATTTGTATCGTTTGATTTCGCATTCCAAAACTGATAAACATTGATAATTCTTTCTTCGCGTATGTCCACGCGTAATTCTCGCAAAAAACACGCATTAATTGTGTCGGCAGCATTGATGATCACGGCAGCCAATCAAATAACGATTTCGATTCGATTTCCCCAGAGTCATGCCACAACCTAACCCGCGAACAG